ATGATTTTCCTGATGTATTTAAACCTTTTATTGATGATGGAATGTAACTACTAACACCAGCATTTGATGATGGATGATTTCCACCAACTGGTACTCTTGCTGAAGCTAAATAAATTATTTATTTGTTTTGTTCAACAAGGGAATTTGTTTTTTCTTCTTACCAGCTGATGGATTTCCAACAGGAGCAGCAGCAGCAGCAGCAGCAGTTGGATTAGTTGAATTAATTGTTTCATTGGTATTAAAAAGAAAAGTTAATGGTTCATTAAGACCAATATCATTTCCTATAGCTAAATCTTCAATATTTTCAACTAATGTATGAATTGTTGGTCGTTGACGAGGATCAACTTTTAGTAGTGTATCTAAACAAATATTTTTATTATTTAATCAATTTATTATATTGCATATTACGAATCTTGGACAATCATAAGATTCTCTTTTTGAAAGATTTTTATTATATCATCTAACCACTAGAATCCTACATAAAATATATATAAGTGTCTCTTGCCATTTTAACTGTTCGATTTGATATTATTTAACTCTTTATTTCTTGATACTAATCTAGTAGAGTTAGTTTTGAGTCAACTAACGGAATAGCTTATGCAGATGTTGAATATGACACCGGTAGAAATAAATTTGGGTAAAGTCATTTCACTGTGGAGATGTAGAATGGGTTTAAAATGAGCCATTCGTCTTGAATGACACATAAGAATTGGCTTTATTGTTCATCTGAGTTTTTTATGTTTTTTTTTTCGTAGTTATATTGTCATTTTCTCTATATTAATCCAAAAACCCACTTATAATTTTAGATAGACCATTTTTCATATTGCTGATTATGAATGAGTCAAACATGATCCAACGTTGGCTAAGAGATTAATCTTTCTTTTGATTTTTATAATTAGTTAAATTACATTACTGTCGAAAATCTCAAAAGAGATGTAATGTATGCTTCATTCACTCTTGCCTTCTTTATTAACAAAAGTGAAAGACCAAGATAAAAAAAAGGATTTTTAATCCCAAATAAAAAAATGTGCGATCAAATAAAAATTGAACATTAATGTTAATCAAATGATACACAAATCTTTTATAGAGATCAGAGATTTTTTCATTCTATGGCTCATTTCTATTAGCCTGTCACTTATCTATCTTTCTATAAGTGCAATATTCATTATCGTTCTTAGTTTCTGCCACCATTTTGTTACATCTCTAACCAGTTAGAATCTGATTGAAATGAAATTAGCTGCAATACCATTTCTCACGAATGATAAGAATAAACATTTTCTCTTGATTAACAGTTAAATTCCTCCTGAAAGTTAATTATTGACGATGCAACGAAAAAAATATATATTTTCATGTTGAACAATTAATTAGTCCATTCGTGTCATTATGTGATCAAAAAAATAAAAATGTAGAGCTTTCTCTGATGTTTAAAATGAAAAATGAAATTATTTCATGACTTTTCATAGGATTTCTTTACTTCCTCGCTCGATTCTCATAAGTATATCAAAATAAACAAAATTTGAAGTATATTTTTATGCTTTCTATTTACTTTAGTCATATCGTATGCTATAACTTATTCATGACCTTTTTTTTCTTTCGAGTTTTGCACTTTGTACTTTGAAATGTCGAATTATCTTCGTTGAATTTAAGAAAACAAAAATAACTTTTTCCGCAGCTACAAAACATATAGATTTGAAAATATTATTTTATACATGAGCTTTATATTTGTCGATAATCATATTTCGTTTCATATTTTATCAATATTTTATTCCAAACCCAAAAAAATAATATCTTAAGAATTTAAAATATGTGTTAACTTTTTTCACCTGAAAAATTTTCGAGAAAAATCAAAATCAGAATTTTCATTAACCAAAATATTCCGTTTTATTCAGAATTCGATGCTTATTCCAACGAACGAAAACAGTATAAAATGTTTAATATTTTAAAAACATCGCGATTTTTGAATAAAAATTAAATTTTATATTAAAATATTTTCACAAAACGGTCTCAAAAAATTAAATCAAACTACACTTAAAATGTGTATGTATTTGGTAGAGTTTGTTGATTTCTATCTGAAAATATTGTCACTTATTGCAAAAATTAGCCATGTATTCTGCTATCATTTTTTTTTTACATAAATTTTCGAGTTGTCCATTCAAAGAAAAATTTCGGGTGTCTAAAATATTCATCAAGACTCCTCAGGAATAGAAATACTTTCATTTCACACACATTGTTTCTTAAAATAAACTTACGTATAAGATCATGAAGTACAATATATCTTGTATTATTAGATGGTATTGTATACTTTGCATTGAGAATTCTTAATTTAGCTGAATCTTCAAATGGATGATTAATAAAACATAAATAATACAAAAGACAACCAAGTGCCTAAAATTTCATAAAATTGTAGGAAGAAGAAATAAATTAGAATTATATATATCTAATACCCAAATATCAACTTGTTCATTAATTGGATAATTATTATATGTATCTAACATTTCTGGTGCTCTATACATTGGTGTTGTTACTTTAGTCATTTCATCTTCAACATAATCTCGTTTTTTAACTGACCATGTTTCATCAGGTAAAAAAACTTTTGTTGTCGCTGAACCAAAATCACATAATTGTATAAAACCTTTTGAAGTTAAAAGACAATTTTCAACTTTTAAATCTCGATGTATAATAGGAGGTTGTTGTTCATGCATATGTTTAACTGCACGACAAATTTGATAATAAATTTGTATAACTTGTTCAACTTCTAATGGATTTTTACGATATACAACTTTTTCATATAATCGACCACCTGAACAATATTCTGTAACAAGAAGATATTCTGTACGACGTAATGTTGTATCTTGATTTGATGCAGCCGCAACATATGGAACTATATTTGGATTCCCATTTAATTTTTGCTAAAAATAAACATACAAATAAACAACGAAAGGACACGAACGGATAAGAGCCATTATTTAGCTTATTTACTGAGTTTCGAAGTTTTGCGTTCATCAGAGATCAGGCAAAAAAAATAAATATAATCAATGCACTTTTTTTTTATTGTGTAATTATCTGTCCTTTGGTCTTTTAGTAACGTCTCAAGAGTTCAGAACTTATTATTCATTGTGCGAATAGTTTCCTAATTGAACTGATTTTTGACGGTTAGATAGTCCAGTTGAATTTTTCAAGAAAAGAAAGATCCAATGCCAAACTTAGAAACACATGCCAGTCTACTCAATTCTATATGAAGATTCTAAATATGTTATTGATTTTGACTCAAACTGTACTCTTTCTAATTGAAATCTATTAAATATCAGTCTAAAATGCAAAAAAATGGTATCTAAACGAAATTCTACTTCATTTCTAAAAGAGTTGAACTCGAAATATTTAGGAAAAAACCAATAGAAATGATAATATCAGTAAGTGATTGTGATACTCGTTTGAAACAATATTTATATCAGCACTCAGCAACTCCTTTAAAAGGACTCCCCCCTCTTCTAAAATGAAATTTTTTTTTGAGCATCCAATCATGATGAAATTTTCAGTAGACGTAGACACCTCACAGTAAAAATTTCAGCTCGTTAGATTGAGTCTACACAAAGAGTTAGCATAATGTTATGAGTCAACATTTAGGTTTCTGTGTATCCCAAATCTCTCCGCTATTTCGAATGCTAGAAAGTTCAAGCTGGTTTTAAAATGTAGCCAATATGTGGCGCTACAACTTAATAGGGCCCGATTTTTCGATTCTCTCTCCTAGCTTGTGTTTTTAGAAAATTTTTCTGATAATATATGAAAAAACCGATGGCAGTAGGTCCGGAAAAGTTAGTTTCTTATAAACATTAATGAGGAAATCGACAAATTCAACTCTGTTGGGTTGTAGAGCTAATTTTTGCCTTCCGTTTGGCACCAAGGCCAGCTTTCTAGCGTTTAAAACGGTACAGAAATCTGAGACGCACGGGAACGTTAAAAACAAAACTTTTTTAAAAGAAACCTTATTTTCTTCTATGGGAGGTTGAGAAAAGCCTGTACAATATCCTTAAACCTCGTTATAAAATCAATAAACTATAGTGCATTCGAAAGTAGACACTTAGCTCTATCTAACGAGCGAGAAATCACAAAATCGACAAAATTTAACCAAAATTGACGTTTTTTTCGGGGAGGCTCTCTTAATCGTTCGAGCTGAAATCTTTCTCAAAGATAAGCTATAGAATAAGTAGTCGATTGATATAGTTTTCAGTTCAAGGTGTCTTACTATGGGAAAATTTACATGCTTCACTTTCCTCTGGATGCTTTAGAAAAAGCTTGATTTTGTTACCAAGTGATTTCTCATGAAAACATGAAACAAAAATGTCATAAACTGAGGAAAATTCAAGGAAGTCAAAAAATGGCTTTCATGCCTCTCTGTTCTTCAATTAATATACATACGAGAAATGAAATTTCTTGAGCAATAGCTTTTTTTGCACTATCATCTGCAGCAAATAATCTCTGAAATAAAATAAAAATTTTTTTTTCCTTTCTTTTTATAAATAAATTATTTTACTTTTAATGCATATTCTTTATTAGTTTTAACATCATAAGCAATAAAAACTAATGCATAACCACCTAAGAAACAAATAAAAAGTCAAGAACAAATAATGAAAATCTTTTTTTTTTCTATTTTAAAATCAATTAACCTTCAGCTATTTGATTGCCAACTCTCAATCGAATATTTCCAACCTCAACAATTTGTCCAGTAAAATCACTTTTAACTCCTCCACTTGCTGTTGTTGATGATCCACCAACAAATCCCATATTATTTGATATACGAGCACTTGATCCAGCGCCAAATGCTGCATCAATAGCCGATTTAAATATATCAACCATTAGATAATTTTTACAAATAAATTTATCTAGAAAAAGAAAAAAGAAGAAAGATAAAAAGTTAGGTTTTAAGCAACGAATACGGGGGGAAAAATATATATCTGTCTTCGAACAGAATACTGTTTTTAAAAACAAAAAAAGAATATAAGTTATTGGTTTAGAAGAAGTTGAAGCGGATTTTCAAGTAAATATTTAAGTGCATTAGAAAATCGAGCCATTGTAGCCCCATCAATAACACGATGATCAGCTGACCAACTAACGGACATCATTGAACGAACTCGACATGAACAATATTCATCATCACTTGAACTTGATGATGAACTTTCATCATCTTCTTCATCTGGTACTACACGTCGCTACATATTAAAATAAATACGAAACTTGGAAATAAAAAAACCTAAATAATTATCTTACCACTATTTTACCAAGTGCACCAATGGCTACTTCAGGTAAAAGAAGAACAGGTACTGCATAGGTTCCACCAATCTATGTAAATTATAAAATTTCAATTTAAATTTTTGATTTCCAGATTTAAATTTCGACTTTCTAAAGAATGTTTCAAAAGTAAATTTATTAATCAATTATACAGTTTTATTCATATAGACAACCTTTGTTATTTTCTTTATTATTTATATATTTTTTTTAATGTCTAGAATTTGTCATATGACTTTTTTAAATTATTATTGTCTCATTATATAATAAATCTTATCGGATCGTCTTTTCATTTTCCATATAATGACTAATTCAACAAGTTTTCTAATATAGTGAAATTTAATCCTATTAGCATGCTTTTTATAGGAATATGTAATAAAACAATGCCGGAAGGGATATATGTTACAAACATAAATAATTTCACAAAGAAAGAATGCATCATCATTTGAAAATGAACTAGAGTTTTCTACTAAAATTTGAATAATAAGTGTAAAATTTGTTCGTAGGGATGAAAAATTTACAATATTTTGATTACATTGAACATTTCATAGGATATTATGTTCTAGTAAAAGACTTTTGTTAGACATATGTAAAGAAATTAAATAATGGGTCTTTAGTTAAAGATAATTCTCATAATTGTCAAAGTTTGTATAATATTTTAATTAAAGGAATATTCAAAACAACGATCGTACATTTCATGTAAATGGCAGAGAATTGTATGTCGTTATTTTTTTATACATGCTTCATCATACTTGAAACATTTTTTTTTACTTAAAACAAAAAGGACTTGATCACTTGCTAAAAGATCATTGAAATATAATAGTTAATATCAAAAATAGATCTCTCGGATTGTTTCGTACTCTTGTTTATGCTTACGCGTTTCGTACGCTTTTTGTTTTGTCCGATGAGCACAAAATCATTTTTTTGATTTTCTCTCAGTTCGTCTCGAATAATAAAATTGTCCACCATGCGCTCCATAGAGATTTTTAAAATGTTCCATGAACATGGGGCAACTCTACGTCTATTGGCTGTCAAAAAAGACTCCCTCATTACTCTACGATAATAATCAGCAGTCACGCAACGAAGGTGTTGTGTCGGAATCAATGTAGTTTTTTTCAGCGTGGGAGCGGTGTCCTTCGGGAATTTTTGATTATTATGCTATACACTAAATGTTCGTGCTTCCAAAAGTAGATATTCGCCCTAAGGAATTTTTGAACTACTTCTTCGGAAGAGAAAATGTGAGTAAAAAACTTGCCGGAGTTTATATTATTTTCCTAATAATTGAAAATTTTTAGTTTTACTCAGCAAACGCAGCAAATTATTTTTATATTTTACGTCTGTCTCTTGAAATTTTACCAAAAATTGTTATTACATGCCTACCTTCTTTTAATCTTTACAACGTCTCAGGCTCATCAATCATAGCATACTCATCAACTTATTCTACAGTAGTCGCAAGCAGTTCCGCTACTAGACATCGATGTGACCAATAATTTTTGATCACGGTTACATTACAGTCACGATGAGTTTGGTCACGGTCACGATGTTTTTTCAAAAATTGGTCACGCTGCACGATCACGACAGTGACCGTGACCATGAGTCGCGGCGGTCACGCTGATATCTATCCGCTACTGAGTAAAAGACGCACAAGATTCAATTATTTTACTTGATACTTTGATTAGACATAGAATTCAGTAAACTTTGATCGCAAGCAGCAATTCGAGGTCGATAGGTCTTAATGCAAAGGATTTAAGACGGAAATACTGGTGTTTATCCCAGGGTAAAAAAATGCCTTTTTTTAACATTTTTCTGGTTTTTCACTATTTAAAAGCATTAACCTCCATTTTCTTATTAATGAATAAAGATTTGCGCATGTCTATATTGTGTTACAAATAGAGTACTTCAATCCGCTGTAATCTTGAGGCACGAGGTAGCCTCTATTGTTTGGAATGATCTCAGTATGGATCTCTTCTCCATTAACGATTGCCAATATAAATAAACTGTAGTGAAACCGTTTTAGAATAATCTATATTATACCCATTCGTTTCTCACAAAAAAAAACCAACATTCAAACCATACAATAAACTCTTCATTTATCCTTTTCAATCATTCATCGGAAAGCTCAATCAATTTTGTTTTATAATATATCTAATAACTGGAATAAAAACATTTCTTACTGCTCCAATATTTGATAATGAAAAAGTTCCTCCTGTCAAATCATCTGTTGATAATTTTCCAGCTTTTCCAAGCTGTTGAAGACGATTAAGTTCATTGGAAATTTGATTTATTGATAATTGTTGAACATTTTTAATATTCGGTACTAATAATCCATCTTTTGTATCCATTGCAATGCCAATATTATGCGAACCCTTTTATTTAATAAAATCTTATTAAAATAAAAGTTTATTTATTTATTTATTTTTTGTTAATCATACTTTATACGTAATATTTTCACATTTTGAATCCACATATGCATTAAGAATTGGATAATTATGTAAAGCTTGTGAACATGCTTTAATTATAAATGGTAAATAAGACATTTTAATATCTTTATTTTCTTTTTTTAATTGTTTTCTTAATTTAACTAATTGTGTCATATCATATTCATCAGAATATGTAAAATGTGGTACGGAATTTGCTTGAGTCATTGTTTTAACCATTGCTTTACGAATACCTTTTATTGGTTCGTTTCGATCTGCTACTGGAGTTGTTGATGGTGGTTGAAGTTTTATTGTTGGAGTAGTTTCTTTAACTGTTGGTGGTGATGATGGTGGTGGTGGTGAACCTTTTAAGAAATTAAAAAGAATAAATTTTCAGTTTTTGTTTTCTGTCTTAATATATAAAACAAACTAATTGGAGCAGCAGCTTTTGATGGTGTTGATGTTTCAGATTTATAATTTAATAAATCTTCTTTTAAAATTCTTCCATCTTTTCCTGTACCTTGAACATCATCTAATGAAATCTAATTTTAACAAAAACCGTAGAAGTATCATTAAAATGAAGAAAAAAAAACAATTTTTTTTTTCTTTATTTACTTGTAATTCTTTAGCGAATCGTCTAACTGCAGGCGCAGCTAAAAGATTTGATGATGGTGTTTTACTTGATACTTCAATATTCGGTGGTTCTTCCGGAGTAACAGTTGCAGCTTAATAAAAAACTAAATTTTGATTTAATTTATTTAAAAACTTAATTATTTACTTTTAGTTCCAACTGGTACATCAACTCCTTCTTCAAGTTTAATATCAACAAGTGGTTCACCAACTATAGCTGTATCACCAACTTTATAATAAATTTTAGTTATTTTTCCATCATAACGGGATGTTATTGTTACATTTGCTTTATCAGATTGAACTTCGCAAATTTTATCAAATTGTTTAACAGTATCACCAACTTTTGTATACCTGAAGAATTTGTTTTTTTTTCTTGTTTTTTATTTAAAAGAAAATTTAATATGAATAAACAAACCATTCTTTAACTTCAACTTCACGTATACCTTCACCAATATCAGCTAATTTAAATGGAACAACAGATGATAATCGTGATAATGATAGTGAAAATGAACGACAACCAAAATGCTAAACATCGAAATTTAAATAAATATAAAGTTTTTTTTCTTTTTTTAATAGAAAATTTACCAATGTGGAATTGTTTATTGCTGAAATTGGAACATTAGTTGTTCTTTTTTGTGATATATGAATAAAAGAAGCAACTTGATTATACGAAGATGAAGGCCGTTTAAGCATACGCAAAGAAAATGTAGCACATCGAAGTGCTGCATTGTTATATGCAGAGCGAGTTAACATCATTCTCATAAATCTAAAAAAAAAAGCTTCTTGTTATTAAATAACAATAAAGAAAAATTAATTAAATAAAATCTTTTAGGAAAACAAGAAAAAATGAATTGAATACAGACAAGATCTAATGAACAAAAAATAAAAATAAAAGAACTCCCGATCCACTCGGAACGAGTGTTAAAAGTTGTAGAACAAAATAAGATTTTATTCGTCTTTAAATGATCCATTGAACTTTCATTTTATATTATTTTATTTAGTTTTATATATACTTTGAATTTGTTTAAAAAGAATAACCTAACTAAGAATAATTAAATAGTATATTCTATTTTTTTCTGTCAATAATAAATCACGTGAGTTTCATTATCTAGATGTCGCCATAGATCATGTCAATGAAAGTTTATTAAATTTGTAATAATAAATCAATCTATAATCCATGATAAAAAAAAAAGATCTTATTGATTCATAAAATTTGAAATAAAATTCTTTGATAAACTTAAATTTAATTAACATGATTCTACAAATCTTTGAAATGATTTCTATACACTTTTAGTAATGATCTTGTATCAATATAGTTTGTTGATTGATATGATTGTCCAAGAATATGACTTAGGATTTCTCTTCAAATAATATTAATCTTTCTCAAATCATCACTTGAAAATTCATTCAAATAATAAAATTAAAATAAAAAACTATGATGATTGATTTCATTAACCAACATGGAAACCATCCTGTTTTCCTGTGTTTGATCAAAGCGAATATAATTTAATCATGAATGCATGTTAGTCAAGACAGATTAAGATCTTTTTTTATCGTTCTATCAATGATAAATTGATTTTGAATCTTATTTTTCATGTAAAAAATATAGCTTCTAGATAGGAGAAATTTACGCAAATATTCACGAATAGTTGACGCTGAGAATACAAATAAAAAATTATTAAATGTAACATGAATGATTATGAGCATTTTTAAATACTATACAAACAAAATGTTCAAATGCAGCTAAAGAGAAATTTTATCATTTATTTGTTGTTTGTTCTAGATGGATAAATATAAAAGAAATTATGTGAATTATCGATCTTATGTTAAAGATCATCGTCAGACTTGATACAACTTCATAAATATATAACAACAGAATAAACCTTGACCAACATCTATCACCTAGAATATCATCTCATAATTTACGCTCACATTGCCTGCTTATATTATAATGTAATGTGTATGATTAATTTTATTTCTTTTATATTTATTCATTTAGAACAAACAATAAATAAATAAGAAAATTTCTCTTTAACTGTATTTGAACATTTTGTTCGTATAGATATCTACATTAAGCATTTGCCGGTGAATTCACATTAGACATGAGACCTAAAAGAATTCGATGTCAAACTAAAAGAACGCTATCAACCTATATAAGAAAAGCAATCAATAAAATAGTCTATTAAAGCACCTTAATCGTACAGTTGTGAACTTTCGTATCGATTCAAGCTTAAGTTGAATAAAAGTATGGGTGAAGAGAAAACTCACAGGAGAGCACATACACCTACCACGAATTCTTATTATATATAGTAAACGATGTAAATATTATCATGACTCATTATATGGATAGTTGTCTGTTTCAAGTTTTAAAGTTGATACAAATGTTAAGTATCCAGTTGAGTATGTTTCTTAAAGTAAGAAAAAAAAACATATTTGATAGAAAAAATATTTTTGTTTTTCTTCTAGTGATCCTATTATGGTTTCATATTGTGCATGTTATGTCACTACTTTATTTTGAAAAGATAGAATAACTGCGTGCTCACCTCTCTCAAAAAAAAGCTAGGAAGTACGTATATATAGTGGAAGAAAAATTGGACTAGTCAGGAAAGAAGTCGACAGGCTTCTTTGTCTGATTGAAAAATGAACAATAGGAAGAGTTACAAAAAAAAGATGTCAGTAAAGAAGGATAGGTCAGACGGGTAGGAACGTATATGTAACAATTGAAAAGAAAAGAAGTGAAACACTATGTAACAGTAAACAAAGGAAAAATGATAAAAGAAGCTCAGAATAACATAGATCACAGGTACCGAAGAGAGAAGAGAATATCATACACTAAACGAGTGATCGACCGTGTGATATATGGTAAGCCAAATGGCCAATACATAACAGTGCATCGATCACAGATTCATGTCAAGCTCATTATGATTTAGTATTCTAACTTATTGTGATAGTGAATGGTTTGAAAATCATCCATCATGTGCAAGATTTTTATCCTATAATGACTCAATTAAAATTGAATTAAATGATGAAGTTTTTTCTTAATAACTTAATTATTATTTTTCTGTAGGTTGTAGAAATTTTGATGACGAACATGTATCGTCATTATTATATGATAACGATCTTGCTAGATCTAATGCTTATGGTTTTTTCCTTTGGTTTGTAATGCCTGTTGAGCATTTTGTACGTGAAGCACTAACGTGTAAACCACGCAATAGCTTTCTATAGGTGATAGGTTCGTTGAAACTTATTGAGAATTTCCATTTCTTGACTGTTGCTCTCGTATTCTTTTTGACAACATATGACCAAATCTTTGATGATTTGTTGGCCATGTTCCATCTCAGAAAATTCTCCAAGAAAACAATCTAAATCGTCTCAGCGATGAAAAACTTTCAATGTTATCCTTTTTTCTCGTTACAAGGGGCTGCATGAATGAACATCCACGTGACATTTCAGATATTTGTCTGTTTTTTTCTCTGTCGGAAGTGACTATCCTATAATGAGATAGAAAAAAGTCTCAATAGCAAAAACAGATAATTCGAATTACAAATCCCTGTATATTCCTCTCTCATTCTGCTATCATATATACACACACACATATCTGACCTTATTAGACCTTGTTCGTGCTATCACGTGTTGCACGTGATCGGTGTTTTTGTGGATAATTAGCTTACGGCATGGCGGCCAATTATCACAATCCACCGAACCAGTTCTTTCATCACACACCAGTTCATAATGCTCGTCATGAATCAACAGCTCAAATGGTTAGTAATTCGTTAAATTTAGTCAATGACTATTTTTATGATTCAACTACTCACATTCATTATAATGCTAACAGAAATCTTTTACAAAATAATATTCAAGCACCATCATCTCCAATTAATATTCAATCTATTGATTCACCTAGTAGATCCATCAGACGCGTACATTCTGAAGATCATGATGAAGATTTTACAACGGTCACATACAAGAAAAAAAAGAATAATAATAATACGATGATGCTTAACAAGAATCAGCTGAACTAAGATCACCAACAATCTGTTCCTGTCAACAACAATTATCAATCTCACATCCACCGCATTATAACTAATTCCAATTTGATGCACCAAAAAGCAACGCATGATTTCTCCCAACATCATCTTGATATTCCCATTGCTGCAACACGTTATGCTCAAACCAGATTTCCTTTTTCACCATTTATTATTCGCTTTTCAGTTGGAAATGTCAAGGACAAACAAGCTTCTGAAGAGATCACCTTATTTTTTAAAAATCAACATCAAACTGATATTTTATTTTCTAACTATAGATCATCAACTTCCAAATGCTCCCCCAATGAATATGATATTTTTCTGTTTGTCACAGATGCTAATTCATTTATTAGTTTATACGATGAAGAGAAATGGCCACCACAAATCGGATCTGAACGTTATACATTTTCTTCGTCACCTTCTATTCCACCTCAATTATCATTGATTATAAAAAATGTTGATTTTCATATTGATATGAATGATTTTATTGGAGATCTAAAAGCTAAATTTCCTGATATTAACCCTTTACCCCCCATAGTGGTTCCAGAAGAGCAACTGACAAAATAACTTTATTAATAGAGTACTAGCCCCCGTAGTATACCAATGGTGCGATCCGATCCACCGAAAATCTTGCCTCTAGAGTAGGGCGGTTTGATTGATCCTATAATTCTGTGGTAGAGGAAGTGACTTGAACTACATTGTAGTACTTGACTTTTTTTTCTTTGACCATATCGTATAGTGGATCGAAGCAGTATCTATGTTGCACTATTAAAGTGACGAAAAAAAGGCAAGGAGTGAAGTGAAAAATTTAAAACCAAAGTATACACATATTTTTTTACATGTGTTGTCAAGTTGTAGCCTAGTTTGCTTCCAGCCGTTTCATAACCTCTGAAGAAATGTAATTCATTATACATACGGTTTCGACTTGTCATGAGTTGAGCTTTATAATACATGTATTAACTCCCTTCTTGATTACCCTCCATCTACGAGATAGTGGCTACATGATCAATTGTATCCCTTTGTATGTGTAATTCGTGAAGTTCTTATGAAACTTTGGAAACATATTTAATTCGCCAGAGGACTTCTTCATCAATTAATATCACACAGCAATTCCAAAAAATCTCTCTTGGGTACGAGTAGAAAAAATTTTGTTTCTAAATTTTCGATTTTTTTCATTTTTTCAAAATTATAGATTTTGTAGACCCGATATTTCAGTAACGAAGCAATGAAGAGAAATGATCTTTTTACCAATCGATAGTTCATGAAGTTTGATACAAAAAAGGTTCTTATCGTTTTTGAATCCAATGCTTCCTTTAGTTTCTGCAATCATTCTACAAATGGTCACTCCAGTGACCAACGGGGGGTAAAGGGTTAAGAATGTTATTAGATTAAAAAATAAATTCCAACAAAATATTAAAATTGTTAAAATCAAATTGCTGTCAACATTAACTCGTGAACAGATTTGAGCTTCTGGAAAAATTAACATTAACTATAGATCATATGATGTGGAAGATTATATTACTCCTGCGAGGGTCCTCATCTGCAGCAAATGTTGTGGAATTGGTTATTTTAAACGCCAATGTACCTAATCCAATGAAACATGCAAAACCTATGGACAATCCTTCCCGGATTTAAAACAACACCTATGCTCAAATCAACCGAAATGCATTCATTGCGGTGGTGAGCACTTTTCTAACGGGATTAGCTGCCCGGAGGTGGAACAGTTTCGTGCTGCATTAACTAAAAAACTATTTTCTTCTCTAATCGTTTTCCATTCTTCCATTTAGATACGAGAAAAACCTTACAAAAACTTAGTGAAATTGTCAATGGTCTACCAATTTCTACGGAAACAAAGAAACAAATATACGATATCATCTTTCAAATAGTCAAGGGAAATTAGAGTTGGGATGGTGCTATCGATCAGCTACGTCCGTTATGCATTACATTAAATAAAAATGAAAGCGAAAATACTTCACCAATCGATATTTGTCAAGATGTTGAAGCTACCCTCAACGTAATTATTGATGATTTATGGAGTCTGGCAGAAGAGGATCAATTCATCGAGTTGCAACAAATTATCGATGGGATTAGAAAATTATTTATTATGTTATTCGAAAAATTAAATAAAACACAGAATAAAGGTAATGAATATTACAAACAATTAAACGATATGAAAGACAAGCTTCACAATTCCGTCCTTTCCAAAGGAGATCTTCTGCTGGGTTTATTAGCAATACAAATATTAATAAAAATTGGAAAATTCTTGAACAGAAATGAATCTCCATTTAATGGAACTTTTCGATCATTGTCTGAAATCAATAATCTGAACAATATTGAATTATTCAAATTCTTTTTAAGTCAACAGGGCTGCGATTGGCCAGAAATACGAAAAACCCTCAAGATGCTCAAGTCGAATAGATTAACCATCGCTCATCCTGGTGATGAAAATACCAGTGCAAAAGACATCGAAGATGCCATCAATACATATTTTCCAGACGTGTCTTCTCCATTTCATATCAAAGCGATGGAAGCCTTGAAACTTTTACAATTTCTTGCTATAGAATTACAACAGCCATTATTTATTTCAATAACACATTGAGACAACGAAAATAGCTTGAAGGACATTTCATTAGTAACATGTACTTTTGAAAAAAAAAGTGATGTAAATTTTAAATAAATTCGACAATATCATGTGAAATTTTGCTTTTTATCATGAAATAGAAAGTGCAAGGGACAACTAATCAATCGATGATAGATCAGTTCATTTCTGAACTGAACTTGAAGAAAAAAAATAAAAAAGAAATTTGACTTTGAATAACATAAGGTAATCAATGACAATCAGATAGGAGATAGGATAGATGAAAATGAACGATCAATATTAAATCTAAACAAATTGAATTAGTTTTAGATTTTTTAGGAACTGGATTGGTTGAAGATGAAAGACCAAATATTGGTGGCGGTGAGGCGTTCAACATATCAATGACAGAGGTTAATGGCTGAGCATTTAAGTTATACAAACTGATTAGATTAATCGCAGTTCGTGTCCGATCCTCAATCCGATGGAGTTGAGAAAGTTTGGATTACCTTAAAGTTGAAAAAGGAATGCATCATTTCCATATATTTGATGATAATTTGTACAGAGAGAATCGTCAACATTCGTCTGAAGATTGGTATTACTATGATCAACAAATTGAATTTGTTTTATTCGATACTTCATTTTGATTGATATTCATTGAAGAATTGCTTCTTTTTAAACAAACTTTTGATTTGCATTGATCAAAAATTAAGAGATTGAAGAATTGTGATATCAATAAAGAGTAATCGATTGTTTGGATTTTTTTCTCCTTTTTGATATTCTTCGATTTATCTTTCAACTTCTTTCTTGTTTTTTCTCTTCCAAGATATCCAACGAAATAATAAAAATAAAACATTTGATTTCTTTTTCTCATATTTTCATTATTTTGATATTCGTTCCAGAGAAATGATCAAATCATTATCAAAAGAGAATATTCAATTGAACAAGGTGCTGATCTTTATTTCTTTGGTAAGATCATTTTATTTTGTTCTTCAATCAATGTTTCTTTCAAATCCATTAGAATTGACATTGAAATAAAAATTTTATTTGATTATTGAATAGTTATTTAAATCTCATTTTATTCAATGTGTGAACATATTTCAAGTAAAAGTCTTTCTCCATCATCATTATTATTATAATGATATGAAAACCCAAATAATGAATGTCTTGAATCTTGACCAAAATTGTTAACGGTTGACTAGATGCAATGATATTTGATGGATATCCATGATAAACAATTCAATTAAATGATGATACTTTATTGGTTTATTGTCCAGATAATTCTTCAACCCAGAATCATTTCAATATTTATGAAAAATTCTTCAATTTATTCTTAATGAGAAATGGATTGATGTAGAATTATTCTTAAATGAAAAGTTTTTTTAATCAATCTATTGATCAATCTGTTGGAAATCTTTTTCATGACTTCTTTTCTCAATTATCTTGAATAAATTTAATGTTGAAGAGGATTTTATTTTGATAATTCTTTTTTCGATAAGAATATATTTAACAGATGAAAATATTGAATATTACAGAACTTATTTTTCATTTTATTTTGATCAATGAATTATTTATCGAATCAAATGAACAGGAAATGAAAGAGATTTTTTTATTTTCTTCATTGATGTTCTTTTCCTCTCTTTAATCAATTGTGTTTTATGTCCTTTTCAAGCCGACAAAAACATCTAATAATTAATCGATGAAAGGACGAGGGCGGATAAGGCCATTTTTTGCCCCCAACGAAATTAACTTCTTTTTATCGAATTGAAGTAAGACATGGCTCCTGATGATATTCCACAGGTCTTTTTTTGTATAGCTCACCAAAAGGTTTTTGGGACCTGTGGTCCCCCACAGGGATCTCTGGAAAACTTTTTATTTTTGATTCTGATGAAATACATATTTATTGGTAGAATTAAGTATGCTGGGTATGAATATCAATGTATTAAGTGCTCAGAGCTTTTCATTAAATAAAAACCCAGCTCTTTTTAAGTCACTCGTATGGCTCTATACCTCAGTTTTTGGCTCTGTCTCTTCTTCATTTTTTATTGTAACCACATGAAAAAACATCCATTATAGCTAAAACAACATGATCTTATCGAATATGAACTATAAAAAACCCTTCAGAGCATCATCGACTACAAAACTTAGAAATACTGGTCAAAAATTTGCTTTTCTCTGATTTCCTTAGAGATTGAGGTGTCCAAATGTTTTGATAACAAATTGGAACCAATGTGAAATCGAGACTGAATACCTAATTTTGGATGCTCTATTCAATGGTGAATTTAAAAGTTCCAAAAAAATTGTGCGTCGAGGTTTTTGAGGATTTTCTGGAAAACCTTTCCAAGATCCCAACCGATTCAATAAAATCTAACTCCACCATCGTGTTCAGCACGTCAAACAACCTACTTCAAACATTTTAAACCTTCTCGAAACATTGAATAGATAATCTTTTAACGTCTTCATTTTTTTTGAATTTAGTTATATTATGTATAGGGCTAGTTATATTTGTATGTCCTGATTCGACGTATTAGAAATATTTGGATTGCCGAAGAACTGTGTACAAAGGTTATTTGATGTGCTGAACACGAAGGTGAAGTTAGTTTTTATTGAATCGGTTGGGATCTTGGAAATGTTTTTCCAGAAAACTCTCAGAAACCTCGACGCACAATTTTTTGGAACTTCTAAATTCACCATTGGATAGAGCATTCAAAATAAGGTACTCAGGCCAGATTTCACATTGGTTCTAATCTGCTATCCAAGCTTTCGAAAGCTCAGATATTCGTAGATCCCAGAGAAAAGCAGGGTTTTGAATGATAATTCTAAGTTTTATAGCTGAAAATGGTCTGAAGGAACTTTTCTTGCTCATATTAGAAAAGACCACATTGTTTTACTAATTATGAACATTTTTTTAAGAGGTTAGAGTAACGATTAAAGGAGGTATAATGCCAAAAAATTTGTGTATATAGTCAAATGAGTATCTGTAAAAAGGCTGAGTTTTTATTTAATGAAAAGCTCTGAGCACTTAGTATGTTGATATTCGTAATCAGCACACTTGATTATACCAATAAATATGTATTTCATCAGAATCAAAAATAAAAAGTTTTCCAGAGATCCCTGTGGGGGACCACAGGTCCCAAAAATCTTTTGGTGAGCTATACAAAAAAAGACCTGTGGAATATCATCAGGAGCCATGTCTTACTTCAATTCGATAAAAAGAAGTTAATTTCGTTGGGGGCAAAAAAATGGCCTTATCCGCCCTCGTCCTTTCGACTCATTGTGCATCAATGTATCTCTCTATCGAAAAATAAACATAATAGCAGATGTAACGAAAGCTAGCGTTCAAATAAAAATTGAAAAAGATTGTGCCATAAGCTCTTGCTTTTTCATTATCCGCTTGAATGGCAAGATGAAGCTTGCGAAAAATTTATATAACTAAATATTATTTGACACCTCTTACAATAAAAAAAGACTTCTTATTCTAACCCAGTCCCAAAATAAAATACTGGTATCTTGAATGATACAATTAGATGAAAAAAAGCAAGCAGTTATAAACACTTGACATTGAAATATTAGTCATCTGCATAAAAAAAATATAATTTTTGAATAACCTAGAAAAACAGAAAAATTTTTCGGTAAACCGCGGTATACCGGTAAATCGCATAATGAACCGCGGTATCAATTAAAACCGGCGGTTTACCGCAAAAAATGATCCGGTATTCGTGACATGGGTTTTATAAATGCATTAAATAGTAAAATAAAAGTTTAATACTAGACAATAGCCGTATGAGAAAATAATAGAGAAAATTGAATATATCTGTATTTTTTTTGTTGGAAGTCTTTTTGGAAGTCAGCAAAGTAGAATTTTCAATATTTATTTTATGAATAGAATCAATACAGTTAAATAATAGGGTCGATATTGATAAAGTCACTTTTGTACCTCGAAAACTCATGAATACAAATATGATAACATATCTTTTGATTTTAAAAAAAATTACATTTCATTTACTAAAAATAGAATTACAAATATTATTTTGAAACTTCGATTACAGTTTATTGAATTCCATAAAGGACATGTAAGAGTAACTATAATGAACTTTGATTTTACAATTGACAAAAAAGGGCTTACCAAAATATCTATTAGGAAACCCATTGAATAAATTCTTATATTGTATATGATTCGACCAAATGTAAGCCATAGACATTGGATATATCCCTTGAAGAAAAAGATTAAGTCGTTTACTTGAGAATTTCTATCTTATTACTACAAGAATGGACAAGAGAGAAAATTTAATGTGAATCTTTTTTTCTTTTATTTCTGTAGAACATCGTCATATCAGCTGTTAATAATACTGATGACCTTAGCCGTCTACTAAAAAAAACCAATGTTAACCATCTCATCATAATTCTAGTATAACATGGCTTTTGTCTATCAAAAAAAAAGATCCTAATTGTGTAGACGTTATTGACGTATGATTGGAAATAAAAAAAGAGAAGGAAAAAAAGAATTTCTTAATGTTGATTGATTGATAATGTTTGGTAGTGTATGTCAAATATGATGCACTGATTCTTGAAGAAGTCCATCATCAGTTTGCGAAGGTGGAAAAGAATTCTATGTTTGTTGTTTTAATATTAAGAATATATGTTTTTATTGAAAATAGGATCATATGGAAAGAATAAAAGGAAATAAGTGATAACATCTCAAGTGCTGTTCTCTTTTTTTTTCCATCCGATTGATAATAAAGAAACCTCGATATTTATATGGAAAAATTTGTTTTCTTGAATAATAAATGAACATGCGTAATTATCCATCACATAATGGTGTTAGTTGTTGATTCTTCTTTCTTTCTTTCTTGCTTATCCTATAAATGCTTCTTTGACATGTTTCTTGATGATCGATGTATAATACTGTTGTTATTATATGTACAGCAATGTTTTAGGATAGAATTTCTTTTTTGCTTTTTTTTCCTCACAAGTAACAGCTATTTCATCTCTTTATCGACAACGATACTAAGTCTTATGTACTAGAGAGACTCTTTGTAGAAAAGCAATGACGAGATCAAATGTGAAGCATTGTACAAATAGACCAAGCGTTATATTCATAAAAGAAAAAGCGTTGGCTATGTTATTCGCTTTCTTTTGTTTTTTAATAAAATTCATCGATCTATTCTATATAGAAAATATGCGTATTAGTAAGTTTTTATATGTAATGCATATAATTTGTTTAAAAGATTTCTTTTATTAAATATATTTTTTTTCTTCGATTCCGATGCTTTTTAATGTAGTTAGTTCGATGTTTCTGGGAATAACAATGATGGCAAGAACAATAATCTGATCTTTGTCGAATAGGAGAAAGCAAGAGAAAGAGAGAGAGAGAGAAAAAAAAAAGAAATTTTCTTCTATGATCTGTAAATCAACAATTAGTCCTTTTTTTTTAGATCGATGAATCTTCATATTCAGTTGTTTTTGTTCTTTCTATTGTAAAAAGTTTATTTGACGAACTATCTTCACCTACAATTCATCAGATAGTCACACGTGACGAATCACTATCAATGAACTTATATTGGAATGGAACAGAAACAACTTATACACTTTCATCACCATTATCATCATCATCAACACAGCAATATTTAACAGCAAAACGATGTCATAGCGCACAACCATCATCATCAACATCAACAGTTGATTTACGCGAATTAACAAATACACTTCAAGAACTAAATAATCATTTTAAACGAAATCTTAAGCTTTTGACAGATATTAAAGATCAAATCGTTAAAGTATGTGAAAAACAAGAAGCAAGATTAGTAGATGATAATTCTGGTGTGCATAAGCTTGAAAGAGTATGTATTAATTAATTATAATTAATATTATTTTAAATTAATTAAAAGAATTTAATAAATAGAGAAAAATTAGTTTCAAAATGAAATAACTTTTTTTTCTTCATGAATATATTTCATGATGATATACATCAATTATTTTATTTTCTTCAGATAGAATCGATTATATAAACAATAATAAGTAGATAAGAAATCATTGAAATATGATCAGTGAATTTCATTGATCTATAAAAGAAAATTATATTTATATTATAACATATTCATTACATAGTGTCTTTCGAGTATTCAAGATTAAAAAAAGAAAATTATTCTATATTAATGATTGTCAAAGATTTTTTTTTTCGCTTAATAACAAAATAAATAAAGAACATTTGTATATTGATCACAAAATGTTATAAATAACTTATTTCACATATTGATACAATATGTTTTGCATATTGCAATACGACATATGATACATTTTTCAAATATCATTCGAATTTAATATTTTATCGAAACATCTATCATCCTTTTTCCTTCTAACATAAATCATTATGACTTGTTTATTTAATTCAAATAAACAATACCTATTCTTGCATCCAGAACGGATAGATTTTGAGATTTAACTATTTCAGGGTAATCTATTGTCTACCAATAATAACTGATCGAGAAATCATTTAAGAAAGAAAAACTATGCGAAAATGTATATATTCGTCGATATATTCAACTGAGCTGGCTATATCTAGCTACATAGATAAAACAAAGTGATGAATGAGTACTTCATAGATAGACTAACAACACAGTTATAAAGAGACATATTCGATTTCGCCACATTCTCATGTTAGACTCTGTGACACTATCACTAGGGACATGCAAATGCGATACATGTTGATGTTTTGAAGAAGGGATTAGAAAAATGTTTTTTAAACTTCTTTAAAGAAGATTTTAAAGGCTAATCTTTTAGAAGAATCAAATATATTGCATACATTCATCAAATTTTTTTTCAAACTAAACTTTATAATATTAATTGATAGTAGTCTGTTGACTATATTAAATGTTTTTTACTGATAAAGAAAAAATAAATTGATTTATTTTATTTTGAGGTAACCGTTGAATTACGATTGGTATTTTTGAAAATTGGTGAAATTGATACATTAAAAGAACAATTTCAAGCTGAAGCATTTATTCAAGCACGTTGGTATGAACCAAGCTTGAAAGGAACGGTAAGTGATATGTAAGTATGTCAATTTACTCGAATAAAACCGTCATACTTCATTATTTCATTTGATTCTAAATAAAAAGAAAATAAAAATCAAATATTTCATTAGGATATTGATTGTTTTGATGCAAATAAATTTTGGAATCCATTATTATATATTGATAATTCAGTTGGAGATTTTAAAAATGATGTTTGGCATAAAGTTGTTTATGATGGAACTGATACACCAATGATTTATGAAATGCGAAAAATTAAAGGTGTTTTTCTTGAAAATCTTGAACTTAATGATTTTCCTGTTGATGTTCAAGTAAAAGAAACAAATTTGTTTTTGTTTTTTTTTTATTTAAAATTCTTTTATGTCTATTAAATATTTTATTCATTAAAAGGATTTATCAATAACAATTTCTACAACAAGAACTGTTAACGAAGTATCACTTATTGCTGATACTCATCAATTAAGTGCAATCAATACACGTAAGAATGATTTATATCTATTAGAAAAAAAAACCAAAATGTTGTTTTTTTCTTGAATTTTAAGATGCATTTATTGATCAACAAGAATGGCGTTTACATGAACATGTTGAAACATCAACAAAATTAATATCAAGTCCATTTACACCATCACAAAATCAACATCCAGCTTTCTCAGCTACTTGTAAGAGAATTCCTGTAGCATTCCTCAAAAAGATAATTTAATAACATCTAAAATTTCGAATTCTGATTATTTCTGATAGATAATACGATTTATATTTTATCATGATATACTTTTAAAATATTAAATTTGTCGAATGAAGGAAATTTCCTAATTAATTTATCGCTTTTGAGTTGGAACTATGCGCATTTTTATAGACTCGAATTAGTTATGAATATTCTCAAAAGAGTTTGAGTTCTTAACTTATTGCTGCAAAGATACTGTGTTTTAACAGTATTTTTGACATCAATATCATGGCTACTCATCAGGAACACTAGTTTTCGAATTTCGATTTGATACTCCGCACGGAGACTAACCTTGACGAGAATAGTTTATTGTAAAAATTTTCGATGTTTGTATTGCTCCTATCGTAAGATATGACTATAGTGACAGCGTGTGTTTTACACCGCTCATATATATCATTAAGGTCTATCATTGTACAAAATTTCAAGGTAAGAATTGAAAGTCTGTTTTCCTTTTATTCCTGAGGGAAAGCATGGTATCGACTAAAAAAAAACTACCATAAAAATGTAGTATCCTCGCAGCAATAAGCTAAGAAACCGAACTCTTTTTAGCGTATTTATAGCTCATTAGAGTCTATATGATATACATTGTCTCGACTTGAAAGCAATTAACCAGTTGGAGAACTTCTCCCGTGAGTATAAAAAAAAGCAAGCAAAATTAGAATCGCCATAGTCTTTTTCTGACTTCTGATTAGTTAAAAAGAATCGTTTTCTTTCGAGCATTGTACTATGAGCTTTTATCTAGAATTGAATTAATCATAGATTTTGTAATCTGCAGAATATTTCATTGAAAATGGATACTTTCGAATTTTTAATTATATTAATTTACGTATAAAAATTTGTATTGAATATTTACAATTCAATTTTTCTATAAAAATTTTCTTCAATTCTGAAAGGCAATCGAACAAATCATGACAAAATTACTATAAAGAACAACTCAATTTTTAAATAAGCATAGTCCCTCAAATTTCACGTTGAATAAAATATTATTATTAAAATCAATTAATAGTTTGCTCATTATTCTACTGATCTTTAAGTATAGATCGTTTAACATTTAAAGATTAAGCTCTATTTGGAAATCTGATATGTTAAGTATCAATTTAAATATTCACATAGGATTATCAAAAATGATAAAAATTATCTCGATAAATTCATAATTAATTGATTTTAGGTCATGCTGCTCGTCGACCCGGTTATTTCTATTGGAATGTCTATTTTTTAATCGTAAATTCAATTTATTAGTTTTATTTAAACAATAATTAAAATCTTTTAATCTTTAGTTTTTTATAACAGTAATGGCTTTTGCTACATTTAGTGTTACTTATAATCTTCCCCAAAATCGTCTTCAATTAAGTTTTACTCTTCTATTAACAGCTGTTACATTTAAATGGGTTGTTGTACGATGTTTACCAACAATATCTTATCTAACAACATTAGTAAAATTAATGTTCTTTTTGAATTTAAATTTATTTTAAATGATTAATAGGATAAATATGTATTACTATCCATGGTAATGTTATGTGTTGTTTGTGCTTGGCATGCTATTATTGCTGTATGTCCAACTGATGTGGCACCATATTGGGACAATATGGCATTAATATCATTAGCTGTCATTTATACAGTATTTCATCTAGTATTTTTTCTTTGGATGTATCTGGTCGTAAGTAGAAATAAAAAAAGAAAAATTTTTAAATAATTTAAAGTTTTTATTTTTTTTAAGACTTATCGTCGACGACGTGTTATGACACGAAAAGATAAAGAATATTTAGTAAGTTAAAATAAAAATAAATGATTTAAAAAATTTGAATTCAAGCATTCTAATATTGAGAAATAAATTCAATTCTAGAATTTATTTGATTCAGATCAACCTTTTAAGATAAGCGCTTAAATATTTTCTTATTATTAACTAAAGCATGATATCAGAATAGACGAAATATACGAAGCGCATGTGTCGCATGATATTTATTAATTTAATTTAAAAAATAATATTAAATATTTCTTGTTTTTTTACCAGAAAAATCGTTTCGAACTTTTAAATACTCTTGGTAATCATCCAGGTGATCAATCAGATAAATATCTTGGTTCATCAGCAGCAACAACTGTTGTACGTAAAACAATACATCCATTAACATCAACTGGAAAACTTCTTCAACATGTATCAAATTCATCTGATGGAGTATATCGACCAAATCCTATTGAACAAAATCATAAAAATTTAACAAATAAACATACGCTTGAACAACATCAACAACGACCATTAATGAGACCATCAGTAACAAAAAATAATTCAAATTTTCCTCAAAATCATGATAGAGGACAACAAATATTATTAACATCTAGTGATATTGAAGCAATGGCAATGAAACAATTTCGTGTTGGCTCTATTGGATGTTAATTTTATTTTTCTATGAAAAAGTTAAAAAGAAAAGAAAAGAAATAGATGATTGAATTGTAAACAATAATTCTTAACTCATATTATATTCTATAGAGTGTTAATAGAAATCTGATCGGTAGATCATAAAATGAGATTATTGTATTTTTCTTTATATTCTATATTTATTATTAATATGAATTAATCTTTATCAACTATTAAACAATAATCTCATTCTTAAGAATTCTTATAGAATACATAAACAAAAACTATAAAAACATGCTAAATGAAAAATCAACCGGTAATCCAATAGGCATATGTTTAACGCTGAAGAAATTGAGCAATGCTTAGTAATTCAATTTCAGAATTAGTATAAAATATAGAACGTAGTTCAACGTCACTTTTTCTTTATAAATACATCATTAATATAATAGAAAAATCTAAAAGGATGAGATATTATAAATCCTACCTCTGTGCTTCTTGATATTTTTGTAATTTTGAAATAAAGAACTACGATTTTTTTTCTTTTGTCTCATAATCATTAAGATACTTTGAAAGTTACAATAAAATGAATTCCCCTTTCTCAATATAAAAACATTTGCTAGTAAATACACTGAGTTTAACGTAACCCTGCTACCAGTATGTCACAGGATCTTTGACTATTTGATGGGTTTTTAGCACTTGACTACTAAATGCTTCTAAATGTACAACCTACTAATTGGTTGAAAACTTTCCTATAGGATGCTAAAGAAACGAGGCAGGTACCTGATAAGAACCCATGTACTGAAACAATTCTCAGCAGGATATCTATCCAAGATCCTGTGATACAATGATAACAGGGCATCCGATAAGGTAACCTGCTATCAACTGATATAGTATTATGGGTATCTTGAAATCAGTACATTCACTAGGGTCCTCAATAGACTCGACTATCATATCATTGATTTTCTCATTTCGCGAACAATAAAAAAGAAGAGATCGAAATAATTCTCGATCGTTGTCAATAAGTTCGAAAAGCCTTGGTCGTATACTTCAATTGTTTAATCTTTAATATCTTTCTTCGTCGAGATTTTATTAGACGTAAAAAAGATCAAAAATATTTTACTCATATATCATAAAAAATGTTCAAATGAGAAATGGAAGATATTGTTTATATAAACACTATTATAATCTACAAAAGAAAAATGCCTTATATAAATCAAGTTAATTATCAGTGAGAATACTCATTTCTAATTGGTAATTATGGAATTGTTAACGTAATTTGAACTGTTATTCATATTGTAAGATGTCTTGTTTAATTGATTTTTTATGTTTAGTTAGTTATCTGTTATTTTCCAACAAGAAAATATCCTTTATTTCTTCTAATGAGAATTTAATGAGTTTTGTTTTAATCAGCTAGTTTATATTTGCTTGATCTAATATAATTGTAGCGGAAAATTTGTATAAACAAATATTATTTATTGTATCACTATCTCATTTCAAGATGAGTAACACTCAAATAGAACATCTCAGATCAACTCTTAATTGTTTCTTTCATTCATTGTCATTCCAAGATTATTCAATAAAACAAGCGATAAAAACGAATTCATCATTTGACATGAATAATTCTCAGTGTTGCTCTTAGTAGATGAAAATATTCGTTCTATTTTAGTCACTTTCTCATGAGACAAATGTCCTAGTAAATATTCAAGTGATGAAGACTATATATATTTCTCGTAACTGACCTTCTTCTGTTTAATGTAGCTGAAATTAATATTCTTTTACAGATGAATAAATTCATAGATTGAGAACCTAGGGTTTTAACCTCTGATTACATATTGACCTGATTAAGTGTTCCGAAAAAGAATTTGTTTCATATGTTTTTGAAGAATTCCAAAATATTTAATAAAAAATTAATTAAATTATGATAAATGTAAAAAGACGAGCATGAATTGTTACATGGTGAAGAGTTTTTCAGAAACATTATATGAAATTTCATCTTGAAAATATCAATAGAAAAATTTTTGTTTTTCGTAAAATATTAATATTTAATTGATCTCTTTCGATATGCTATTTTTTTAATAATAGTGAACGAGAAATTAGTTGATTAGACAAAATGATACTTTATTTGCTTTCTCTATAAACTAATTAGAATTGCGTTTGATGCTCGCAATAATCTATTATTTTTTCTCTTATTTGACTTCGTTGATTTACTTATAAAAATCTCTAATAATTACCTTTAATCTTAATTAGATATTAGAAAAATTTCTTTTGTTTAAAGTGTTTCTCAATATAGGCTCATTTATTTTAGATTTGCATGTCTGTTACGGAATATATATTAATTCTTTTGCACATTACGTCAAAACGAGAAAATAATATCAATGAAATAGATTCTCTACTACATGAAGTTAGACGTGTATTATCGTTCTTGTATTTGATTTTTCGTCAACATTACCAGTACCACCTTTTCAATATATGTATTCTATTTTTTTTGTGAAACACGATCTGAAAGGAGTGTTGAAGTGTATAGGGTAGAAATTTTGGACCCACTCCTCCCCCCCCTCGCAGACCATGGTAGAGAAACCCCAATACCCATCACAGACCGTGATAGAGAAAACCCAGTATCCATTACATAAATAGATAGATCTGTTCTTATATGAAGTACGATTAAATGTCGCTAGAATTTCATAGAAATATGTCAACTGCTTCCTTTTTGCAGATCCAGAAGAATTAATAAACAATGATTCATTAATGGATCCGAAGATATTCAAGAAAAGATATTCGTGTGACTAGTAACAACAGCTGCATCATGTCTCACATTTTTAATCCCGCAGGGATTGCGTTAACAGCTTTTTATTAATGAATCATTATCCTAGTCAGTATATTAGTAATTGTTCTAAAGTTCTGCAATCGAGTCGAATACGTAGTATCCAACCCGATCTATTGCCTCAATTCAAATCAGTTCACGTTTTGGACATGAACAAAATTATTAGATTGCATTCGAATACAAAAAGTTACACCCATGCAGAACACTAAAATTTACTTGTATATATAGTAGTATCAGCTTTTATTGATATTAAATTATCATTGTTAAAGCACGGAGAATACTGAATGAAACTTTTCTAGTAGTAATTCCTAAGAAATTTGAAATCAACTACATCCTCTACATTTTGTTGCTTCTAGCTATTAATTAAAATAAAAATTTTTTCAAAATCTCGTTTGTATTGATAGATGAAAAATATTTTTCTTATGTCACATATTTCGAAAAAAAAATTCAAGTAAAAATAACAGCATATCAACAAGCTTTTGTAGCGAAACATTGTTAAAGTAGATTATTATAAAAAATACAATCACCAGCATCTTTCAAGTTTATTATTGACAATTAGACATGTGCGGAATCAATTTTTTCATCCCAGTTATAGTCCTAGTAAACTTGATCTAGTCTCGGTCCCTGTCTAGAGAAAACTATACTAGAATTTATTTGCATCACATCTAAAAAAAATTGGTCAATACTCGTATTTTTAATTTATTTAGGCGATGACTAACACTTTTGTGTCATCATTCTTGAATTATATTCTGATTGATGATTTATAAGATAATCCGCATAAAATCATAGAATATTTAACTATAATCTTGGGTTTCGATTGAGACAACTTTTTTCTCATAGTTCTAGTCCTGGCGAACTTCCAAATTTTGGTCCGAAACATTTCAATTTACACGACATATGATAAGTCTTCTGTTACTTCTTTGATGAAATGAGATTATAAGGAAAGTTTCAAAAATAGTAATAGGACATTCGATCAATATTTGCGTGTATTTATCTTTACTGTTTTTTTTTAAGTCAACAAAGTTTCTCATAAACGAGAAAAACTTTTCATGGAAATTAATTCAAATGATATGTGAAGCAAAAATTATTTTTTTTACTTTAATCAATTGAGATAAAGAATATCTTTCTCGAAGACAAATTTGCAAAAACAAAACTTGTATATAAAGTAAGCCTTTTGATTCGATGATCAATTCAATTGTTATTCATCTAGGAATCAAAGTTTTTCCAATTCAATATATATCACATCTATATATCACGTTCAAATTTCAGTACTAAGAAATTAGATTAGAACTCAAAAAACTTACAATTATATATATTCGATCATCCATTTGACTACACTCAAAATATATATGATAAACTTGAGAAATTCTGTCTGTGATTCATACCGGACGAAAATCGCCGGCAGTTTGATACTTGAATGGTTGATCATCTTCCAACCGCCATTTTATCGAGGTATACTGGAAGTTCTTCTTCAACTAGCAATTTACTGTCGGCGTACTGTCAGTACTTATGGGTACCGTATTATAGGGGCGGTAGTACGAACAAATATACAGCATGAGTACGCATTAATTCCACATGAAGTAGAGTCCGTTGGATTGGTTTCGAACTTGGACTAGGTCTAAAAATTTTCTATTTAATTGGATCCAGATCAAATGGACTCTAACATGAAGCTTATCTTTCTGATTAGAGCTATTATATTATATGAAGAAAAAAAATTTCTGAATGTAGATTGTTTCTTTTTGATATGAATTTTCAAATTTAATTTATTTTCGAGATTACCAGTTTGGAACGGTAAATTCTCATTTCTTAAGAATTAAATGTTAATATTCGAATTTTTCGGATGTAAAATAATAAAATAAAAATGAACCATATAGATCCGCCTTAGAACTGACACTAGCAATTATTTTTTTAAATCTATGCAAGCAAAAAGTCATCTACTATGTAATCTATAGATGTCAGTAGATGTTGATGAGTATGCTTATAAAACTGTAAAATGAGAGTTAATGTTTGTCGTTGATGGCGATAAATAAACAAATGAGGTAAAAGCAAAATGTCATTGCTGATTTCCTTTGTGCTACAATGGTGTCTGTTTTTTTTCTATTCTTTTCATCTATTAGCAGAGGCGTTTCCATTCACAAATTCAATTAACGAAAATTCGAATTCTTAAAAGAAATTTTTTTTCTTTCCTTTAATTGAAAATAAAAACTTAACAAATACT